CAGTTTTGGTAATTCATATATATTTAGGAATTTACCGTTTCTTTAGGAATTCTCCAACTTAATGGAGTATAAGTTTTCAAAGTAGTAAGCAGTAGTGTTCTGGATTTCTGTGGTATCTTTTGTGATTTAGCCATTTTTATTTTTAATGGCATTGATGTGGGTCTTTTTGGTAAAATTGGATATGAATTTGTGTATTCTGTTCATCTAAAAAAAGCCTTTTGATTCATTAATTCTTTGTATTTTTTAGTCTCAATTTTATTAATTTCTGCTCTGATCATTGTCATTTCCTTCCTTGTACTAACTCTGGATTAGGATTTTTCTATACAGGACCTTGAGGTACATCATTAAGTTATTTATTTGGGCTCACTGTGGTTTTCTGAGGGGCATGTTCACAGTTATGATTTCTTCTGAAATCTATTTATTATTATTTAATGTATATTGTTTAATCTATGAGTGTTCACCTAACTTTCATGATTTCTTTTGCCATTGATGTCTAGTTTTATCGCACTATGATCTGACAGTATACATGGGATAATTTAAATTCTTTTGCATTTACTTAAGCATGCTTTGTTGGCTATGTGGCCTATTTTGGACACAGTTCTGGTGAAGTTGAGAAGAATGAGTATTCTATTACTGTTGATTGGAACATTTTGTTGAAATCTGTTAAGTTTATTTGTCCTAAGGTGTAGTTCAACTTTAATATTTACTTGTCAAATTTTTTTGTCTGCTCGATCTATTAGTGGGTATGGAGGTCCTCCACTATAATTATGTAGATATTTGTGTGATCTTTTATGTTCAGTAGTGTTTGTTTTATGAGGTTGAGTATGCTAATGATCAGTGTGTATATATTTATAATCTTTTTTCCTTGACCAATGCAGAGTAACTTTCTCTCCATCCTCTGGTCAGTTTTTACTTGATGTGCACATTATCTGAATGTAGGATAGCTACTTCTGTTTTTTTCTAGGCCATCTTTGCATGGAATATTGTTTTCTATCCTTTGATTTTTTTTTTTTTAGTCTATGAATTTCTTTTTGAATTAAATGTTTTTCCTGTATATGGCATACTGTCGCTCTATCCAGTCTGCCACTCTGTGTCTTTTGATTGGGAATTTGAGGCCATTCACGTTGGGAGTCATTACTGAAAGGTGTTGGCTTTATCCTATCATTGCATTTTTTTCCTGTTACTTCGTTCCCATTTTTCTCTAGCCCCAGCTGTTTGAACACAGAATACAGGAATAACTGTTTTAATGCTCATGTCTTCTAAATATTTTTGTCTTTGTCATTTATAGATCTGCTTCTATATATAAGTATTTCTATTTATGATCTGTTTCTAAAATATGAGTATTTATAGGTCATATTTTCTATTTCTTTGCATGCCTGGTAATTTTTTATTGGATTTCAAATATGTAGTTTTTACCTTCGTGGGTTTTGGGTATTTTTGTATTCCTGTAAGCTTTCTTGAACTTTGTCATCTTTGTGAGAAACAGTTTGATTGTAAGTATTGCTTGTAATCTCTGTTTGTAGGGCCATAGCAGCATTTTATCTAATTTCCTGCTGCTGAGGTAAATCCCTAGTCGGACAGAATTATGAGATTTTCAGCCTGATTGGTAGAAAATTGCTTTCTTTTCCTATTTATTTACTCGTTGTATTTGGAATTGAACTCAACATCTTTGCACTGAGTTATATCCCTGACCTATTTTATTTTATTTTATGGTGAGGCAAGGTCTTACTCAGTCTGGGCTTGAACTCATGATCTTCCCATTTTAACTTCCGGGATGTTGGGATTACACGTTTACACCACCAGACCTGGTTCTCTGACACTTCCAGATGATTCTTTTTCTGGCTTTGGGTAGTTGGCTGCCACTGTATCCGTGAGTGATGAACATTCAGTTGAGGACTTGGGAGTATCCTTAACTGAGCCCTGGGGTTTCTCACAAGAGAGCTCCTTTCTCAAGGACTCTCCCCTGACAATACGGGCTCCTCTTTCCTCGCTGGACTCCCAGGCATCTTTATCTGGATCCCCCGTCCTGGTGCAGAACCCACCAACTTTCTGCAGGCCCTCAGCTGGAGTAGCTGTAGTGCTTACTGCACCGATTCCCCATTCTGAATAACTGTAATAGCTTCCTTTGTTACTGGTGTCCTGCACACGAGGGTCAGGGAGGACTTAAGTCTGTCCACAATAGTGGAGCCAAAAATGACGCAGTGGAGAGGTGGCCCTTGAGCAACAGAATGTATCCTATTAGCAAACAAGGCCGAGGGAAAATCATAAGCCCTGGCTGCTGCTTCTACCTTGAATTGTTCTATCTCGTCTCCTTAGTGGCACCTTGCTTTTAAAAATAAACTAATTGTTGCTGCTTAGTCTAAAAATAACCTTTTCTTTTAACCTATCATAAAATATCTTAAAATGTCATATCAGATTGATCCTGTTAAATGATTTAATTATTTTATGTTAATTTCTAGGAAAACATCATTTCATTATCTGTTCAATTGTTTTTCCTACTTTAAACCATTTTGCACATGTAGAAAGTCCTTTCTGTCTTGACTCGACTTTTTAAAGATCTACATATCCATGTGGATCTATGCAGCTCCATTGTATTTATGCTCTTGTAAATATTTTAAACATAGTTTTGCATGTATTTCACATGCAAGTATTATGGTTATTCACTGTGGAGAATGAATTCATTCATTATGAAGCCAATGTCCTATAATTCCAGTATTATTCTTCTAAGACCAACTGTTCATTTAGGTCTATTTGAAGAACGTTAAAAAAATAGTAGGCAAGAACTGCTGAATTTTTAAATAGTATTTAGAAAATAATGACAAATATTGATATAAATATATTGTAAAATCCTTATGTCTAAGAAATATAATGTTAAACAACTGATACTAAAATTTTGGGTAGCTAAATAACATTTCAGAAGATGGATCTAGTACACTGATAATTAGCATAATATTTGAATTGCAGAAAACTCTTCAATTTAATGAGTACGATCCTTTTTCACTTAAGTGTCCTATAAAAACCTAAAGTTTTTCAAGCCAAATGATTTCTGTTTAGAATTCTGTGTAGAAAATAATTCTCAGCACAAAATCTTACATTGTGTATCTTTACAAAGGATGAATTTTTACAGGTTAACCCTTTAGAAAATTAAATCTATAAGATATAAAGGCAATAATACTCTGTTTTAACTTTGTTGATGAATGGAAACGTTTTAATCAAAAACATTACAAGTAAGCCTTAGCATCTCTCTCTCCCTCTCTTTTTGACACAGGGTCTCATTATACAGTTTAGGCTGGCCTTGAGCTCACTTTGTGGCCCAAGCCGTCCGTGTTGAAATCACAACGATCCTCCTGCCTCAGCCTCACAAGTGCTGGGATTACAGGCATGAGCCACCGTGCCAGGATAACATCTCTTATTGTCATTAAAAACCTAAAAGTTGTGTGCTTGTTTAGCCACATCACAGAACCGGATGTCATTTTAAAAAGATAGATATTATTCTACAATACTAAAAGATTACCTTAACAGATAAACTTCGTTTGTTTAATATCTTCATTATTACTGAAGCTAATGATTTTATAAGTTACAGTGTTCTTTGATGTTTACTAATGCGTGTTTTTTCTGATAAATTTAAAACAGGTGCAATTGACATTTAATGAGTGACACCTACTTAAATGATGTGATTTTAAAAATACTGACGGGGCTGGGGATTTAGCTCAGCGGCATAAGCACCTGCCTTGCAAGCAGGCAGTCGTGAGTTCGATCCCCGGTACCGATAAAAAGGAAAAAGACAAAAAAAAAAAAAAAAAAATACTGACATAACCTGGGTGTGGTGGTGGACAATTGTAATCCCAGGCATTTAGGAGGCTGAGATGATGGGCCAGCGAGGGCAATTTAGTGAGATCCTGTCCCAAAAATAAAATAAAAAGGGCTCTGGATGGATCTCGTAGTAGAAAACTTGCTTAGCACTAGAGAGTCCCTGGGCTCAGTCTCTAATACCAAAAATACATGCGCATGCGTATGCGTGCGCGTGCACGCACACATACACGCACGCGTGCACGCACATGCACAACTGAAACCATCATAACAATCCGATAGTGAGCATTTCCATCTTCAAAATTTCCTTGCACCCATTTGTCTTTTCTCACTGCCGAAAGTATGCTTTCTTTCCCAGGTCATCCTTGTTTTTCTTTCTGTTTGAGTTTTATAATTTTTGACATTTCTAATAACCTGAACAAAGAAATATGTTTATGCAATGTTGGCTCAGATTCCTAAACATTTTTCCCCAGAAGAAAAGTAACCAGAGCTTCACATTTACTCACATACTTGTTTATTTAGCACAGTAAATAAATATATGTTTGCACATGTACGTAAGCATACGTGACTGGGACATGAGCATGTACTAAAGCACTTTCTTGAGTCAGTCAGACCTCCTTTTATGATACAATTTTAGTCTACTTACAGTCTGTTAAGACTAGTTATCATTCTAGGCAGTTTCACATAAAGTGGCATTTTTCTACGTTAATGTCATATATATAACTGATACAAATACAGGAGCCATTTTATTATGCTTTGTGTTTTCTAAAAGGCTCCTCATATTACACAATTTTGCTTCTTTTCTGAAAACTTACTGAGTAAAGAAGCATTTAATTCTTTTCTCCATAGAATCCTATATTCAAGTATTAGGTTTTAAAAATACATCATTTTCTAATACTGATTTATTGATTTAAATTTTGAGAGAGACAGATTTTATATTCTTTTACTGCGTCATATGATGGTTTAAAGCTAATTTGAACTATGAATTTTTTCTTTGTAATCAATTGAATATCAATTTTTTCTTTGTAAAATTATAGTGAATTTTGCATAGTATTTGAATAGAAGACAAGTTCTTTTTCTTTTGCTCATTTTTTTTTTATCAGTATAGGGAGCTTGATTTGTTAGGCTAAAAGATAAACTACTAACTTGATATAAGCTAAATAAAAAGCTAATAACTTTGTTTCTTTTAGATCTCTATAAGAACGGACTCCAAAGGGCTAACTTTGTACCATTCATCGCTGTCCTGAAGGTAGGAACAATCACTTATTTGTGGTCAGTAGTTGTCACGTATTGACAGGTAGCCAATAGGTTCTGTAAGTCTTGTATTCAAGCAGAATTCATTTTGATATTTAGATAGTAATATTCAAAGACACTGAAGGAGAAAATAATCTTTTTATGCAGTATTCATCCACGTGCAGATGGGAAAATTACCAAATGCAGTATACTCTAAATTAATCTCTAACTGAAACATTTGATAGTTTGCATTTTATAAATTTTAATTTGAGGTTTGCTCATAAATATTATAGTGGGATGTTTAAACTTATATATTTATTTCTGAAAAAAATGTTTAATGTCCCTTGTTTCTTTCAGGCTAATGGCCATTATTAATATGTTTTCCCAGCTATTAAAGTTGCTATTCTAGAGTAGCATTATTACAAAAATATTCTAATATATTTAAATGTGATTGCTATCAAGTTATCATGAAATTATGTCAAGTTGAGGCACATAAATAGTTTAAATATTTGTGTGTATCATCACTGCATAGAGTTTAAAATAGTCTTCATTACAATATAATTAAGAATAAATAACCTTTTTCACTGTTAATTTTTTTTCTTTTTTCAGTTTTGGTTTTTTGAGCCAGGATCTCTCCCTATAGTTCAGGCTGGCCTTGAACTTACTGTGCAACTTAGAATGGCCTTGAACTTGTGGTGATTCCCCTGCCTCAGCCTCCCAAATGCTGAGATTACAGGCATGCACCACCATGCCTGGCTTTTTGCTGTTAATTTTAAATAATCTGTTACATGATTATTTAATAATTTATAACCTGTCAATATTTATTGAGAACTTACTATGTTTAAAGTGTCAGTTTAGGCTTATGGAGTAATATAAAGTAGACTATGGCTTACTTGTAGGTCATTTATAATCCAGTTGAGGTTATAGAATATACACAAATACAACAGAAAGCAGAATGTATTGTACTGCAAAGAAGCACAATTATGTGCCAAAAACATAATTTTCATAGTTTTTGGTACATAATTTTTTCCCAATCCGTATTTAACTTCTTCTTAGTAAGAATTTTTAAGTTTTTAGTTGTATTTAACAAAAACTAAAACTTAAAAATTCTTACTGAGGAGTTAAAACATTTTGCCACCAAATATTGCAGAGATACCATCAGACGATTTTTTTTTTTTTTTGTCTTTTTCCTTTTTATCGGTACCGGGGATTGAACCCATGACTGCCTGCTTGCAAGGCAGGCACTTATGCCGCTGAGCTAAATCCCCAGCCCCCAGATAATCTTTTTAGCAAATACTTCAGTTAGAATTATTATTGGTGTCAAACTTTATTCCCTGTGCTATACTTAGGAGAATTTAAACATCTGTTTCCTTGATCAGTTTTTGGTTCCTAAGGATTATAATTTACCTGTGATATTTATAGATGTAGGAAATTACTTTTGGATGTTTTTGCTGTTAGTAATTTTTTCTCTTTATATTCATTTTTTTTTTTTATTTAGGGAGGAGGTAGATTTGCGATATTTTTTCCATACTAGAAATCTAAGGTAATATGGTATATAAAGATATCAAAATAGAAACAATATAACTAAGAAAAATAGGGGCTAAATATAGTATCTTTGTATAGCATGAAATACATAGAATGTGAAATAATCACAGAATGAAACAACTTAGGTTCTCAGGGAACTTTTAGTTACATTCTTTTTTGGCTTTAAGTCTTTTTATGGCCAATAATTTGTCACACTTTAATATACGATAGCACCATTAATAGACAACTAAATTTTCCAGATTGAATTTAATTTGTTTCCTTTCCCACTCTTAATTTTTTTGTGTGTGAAGAGGAAGGAAAATCAAATTTGAGTACAGTCATCGACAGTTTGAAAATGAAGATGATTCAAGATGAATAATATATTATTTGTACTTGAATATGAACTGAAATTCTTGGGAATGGAAATGCCTGACTGAATCAGAAAAAATCCGTGAAGTCTCTCTCAATAAAAATATGAATCTACAGGGAAAAGCTGCTAATAGCATATATCTTCCAAAAGTACTTCCAAAAGTGCTTTCAAAAATTTTCTCACGTAGAATAAAACGCCAGCCCGATGCAGGAAGAGCAGACTTGGTTTCTCTGGCTCTTTGCTGTTTGGCCACGTGAAGTTTCCTTTATAAAGCAAGGTGCTCATGTAGGGACTTCCTTAACGACATTTTGCCCATTCAGATTGAGTGTCACGTCCACATTTGGTTCAGTTGGAAGAAATGCATGGTAGAAGTCAATCTTAAATAGAGACTCGTAGTGTAGTAAAAAGAGGTTATAAACAAGATTGAAATTTATTGAGGAAAAGGTATCTTGTAAAATTCACTTTTGTATTCTTCTTTATGAGCCAAAATGATAGCACATTTGTAATTTACCACAAAAACTTATGATATAGTGCTTGGTGTTTTGAAAAATAATAAGGTCTTATATAAATCCTTAGTACAAATGATATTTCCTTACGATGGCAGGAATGAGCAGGAGGATTAATGCATTATGCAAAGTCATAACTTCAATAGGTGAATAAATAATGTGTGGTATGGTCATACAATGCAATGTTGTTCTTCCTTAAAAGGAAATGAAATTCTGCAAGCAGGCGGTTGTGAGTTCGATCCCCGGTACCGATTAAAAAAAAAAAAGAAATGAAATTCTGTTACCTGATGTGTGAGTGAACCTTGAAAACATGCTAAATGAAATAAGACAGCCAAGAAAAGACAAATATTTTACAATCTATTTATGTAAGGTAGATAGAAAAGACCAAGTTGTAGAGAAGGTAGCATAGAGATTGTTGGCATCTTGAAAGGAGGAGGAGGGTTATTACTGTCCTTTGAATCCGGAGTTTCTGTTTAGGACAAAGCAAAAGTTATGGAAATGGAAGTGCTGATAGTTGTACCGCAGAATGAATGCACATAATGCCAGTGAATTGTGTTCTTAAAAATGGTTAAGACAGTAAATTTTATGTTATATGTTTTTTCCTGAAATAATAATTCTAATTTAAAGAAATAAGATTCAAAGTCTCATGACAAATTATGAAAATGTCCCCTAAGTTTCAATTGAAAACCACTCATACCAAAAACCAGGAGGATCTCAAATTAAATTCGAAAAGACAGTCAACTGATGACAGTGTCAATCACGATGACAGAGATGCTGGAATTATCTGATAACAGTTTTAAAGTAGTCTTCTTAAAAACGCTTCAATAGACAGCGCTGAATATCCTTAAAACAAAGTCATTATTCCTTAATGATTTTTCAAAGTTCTATTCACAGGCGGTATTTAATCATTATAAATCTGCATGTAACTTGTAGCCTTTAAACATGTGAGGTAAATGACAGAATTACAAGAGAAACAAAATCACAAATATAAGGGGAGGCACTTCCCATGAGCCTTAGTGATCAGTGGGGAACACATATAACAGTAAAGACTTGAACAGCTTAATTAACAAACCTAACCTGAGTGAGAGAAGGAGTTAGTGGAAGGAAAGAAATATGGGTTAATGAAATCATTTTTTCTAACTAGAAAACTACAGTGTCTTCAAGACTCATTCATGTGGCTTGTATCAGAATCCCTTTCCTTTTGACTAGGGTACCAGCGGTCCATTGTTACGTGATTGTTATGGATTAAAAACTGGTGCTCAGTTTAACACCAGCGTGGTGCTGAGTGCTGATGGCCCACCTGAGGAAAATTGCCAGCATCAAAAGAGACTAGAAAGCAAGAGTGTGGCCCTGTGAGTTCTCCTAAGTGATGCTGTTTGGAGCTTTTGGTTCTCCTGGAGGAGCTTGTCATGCTGGCTTCCCTGCTAAGAAGTCAGCCATTGTCATTGGAGGATTTGGGACCTTGTCACGGACAGTGGCTGAGGTTCATCTTGGGGGAGCTCTGGTCCTTACTTTGAGCATCTCTTCCAGGCTCCAGGGGAAGATGTGTGCTGTTTAATCTCTAGAAGTTGTCACGCTGGCTTCCTGATATGTGCTCGGCTGTTCTCATCTGATGGATACGAGACTTAATTGTTGCTGAGGATGGTTGTGGTACTTTTTTGGGAAACTCTGAGCATTATTTTGAGCATTGCTTCTCGCTTTGGTATAGAACCCTCAACCTACTGACACAGATCCTTTACTCTGCTGGCATAGACTTTCTTGCTTCCACGCTGACCTTTGAGCCTTCCTAGTGCAGATCCGTAAAACAGTCTGGCCTGAGTCTTTGTCCTAGGCTCTAGGTTCCAGTTGGATTTGTGGGAGGCATTGTCATGGGCTCGAGGTCTTCAGCCACACTCATGCAGGACATTTCTGTGGGCTTCAGGTCCTCGGCTGGATTCTCTAGGTCTTCAGTGTTGTGGACAGATTTCCTGCACTTTCTTGAATTTAACTCTGGGTGACCATCATAAAATAATTTGCAAATTCTGCACCCTATATGTGTAATTGTTCTCTTTGTAACCCCTGACTACAACATGTGCATATATATCACATTTTGCTTATCCATTTATTAATGACCATTTGAGATATCGCTACCTTTTTTTTTTATCTCTCCCTTTTTGCTCTTATGAACAAAGATACTACGAGTGTTTGTGTAGAAATATTTGTCTGTGCCTCTGCTTTCAATTCTTTTGTGTATAACTCAGAAGTAGAATTGCAGGAGCATATGGTAATTACATGTTTAAATTCTTTGAGGAATTGTGGTAGGAAATAATAATTCAATGGCTACAAGATGGTGCAAAGAAAAATAATTTAAGAGTGATAGGTACGTGTAGTGGCTGCATCACTTTATATTCTCATGTGCAATATAATCTTCACATCTTTGCTAACTGTTGTTCTTTTCTTCTTTTGAAGTCCTGGGAATTGAACCCAGGACCTTGTTATGTTAGACAAACCCTGTGCCACTGAACTTTCTTCTTCTTCTTCTTCTTCTTCTTCTTCTTCTTCTTCTTCTTCTTCTGTCTTCCTCTTCTTCCTCTTCTTCTTTTGATGACTGTCATCCTAGTGAATGTGAAATGGTAT